GTTGGGAGGTTGCTGTGAACTGGGATGCCACAGCACCCTACCCAGGGTGACAGCTTGAGGCTCTGTCTCAAAAAAAAAAAAAAGAATACTAGTTAGCTATGGTTTTTCATACTTCTTGCTGTCTTATCTCAAAGTTTATTGAGTTAATAAAAAGAGACTGTGTGATATGAATGTTGCACAACTCTGAATCTTAATGTTTATTGAAATTACTTTGTTTCATTGTAGGTCAGACATATTTCCAACATTTGGATCAAAACCTTGTCCAACAAGACTTTCTTCTGCAAAGAATAAAAACTCTCATGTTGCTGAACATAGCCCCAGTACAGGTATCTGTGACTATTTATAAATATAATTTATAAAAATTATGATTTTTATATAATGCCAAACATGATAACTCCATTTCAGATTTTTCAGTTTTGTAGTTACCAATTAGGACTAATCATTTTTTAACTTCTTAAAAGGCCATTTTGATAAGAATAAATGTTATATTATTTTTGGAAGAACAAAATTTGTTGACCTGAAATCTTTTATCTCCTTTTAACTCCATAGTAAATCTGTGCCTGGCTCCCACACCCAGTATAACCTGGCTTTCAGGGTTTTGAAAACTTCACAGATGATTCTAACGGGCAGCATATTTTGGGAACCGCTGGGCATCACAAGGCAATTTTCTTTAAAAACAAATATTTAACTAGTAGTTATTTATTTATTTATTTTTTGGGCTGGAGCTGGGTTTGAACCCGCCATCTCCAGCATATGGGACTGGTGCCCTACCCTTTTGATCCACAGGCGCCGCCCCAACTAGTAGTTTATTTCATGTGTATCTTGTGTTAAATTTTGGGAGAACTAACCTGGATTTTATAATATCACTTCTCAGAAAATAAATTCAGTAATTAGTAATGAATTAGAAAAATATTTGTTTTACACTGTGATCTTTTTAAGGTGGGAACTACATTGATTCTTCTTTATGATTAATAAAACTATATTGAATTATAGGTGAATGGTTACAAATTGGGATGTGATACTTAAGTTTCACATGCTCTCAGTATAAAAGTTCTATTTTAAGTCTACTTTAGATTATAGTTACTTTCCTAAAAAGCTATGTATCTATGTGACTATTTTCTAAGATTTTTGATGTATTGCTGTTAAATGTCTTAACTTTACCCCCTTTTTAAAATTCCCATTACTATGGCTTTAGTTCACATTCTTCCTCCTTATCTACTTAGCCTCCTAAGTTTTCTCCCCATCTTCAGTATCATTTCACTTAGATTTTAGTCTCCACAATGCAATTCTGACTCTGTTGGCCAGCCTCAGTTCATTCCAGACATCTTTCCATGATCTGGTCCCTGCCTACTTTTTTTTTTTTAAGATACAATTTTATTACACAGAAAGGAATACAGAAGGAGTGAGAAAGCACTAGAGCTTCTGGCAAAGGGGAAGACCCAAGTCAGAAGTCTTTCCCTCTGTCTGCTTCTCCAGCCTCCTACTTCACTTCCCTCTTTGTATCTGTATGTTTCCCTTAAATCAGACCACTTTCAGGACCCTCTCAGCACTGTCTCTGCAATTGCACGTACTGTTTTTTCTAATTGACATCTAGAACCCATACCACACATTATGCAGCTCTGAAAATTCATTTGCTTTCTTTAGGAAACCGTCCCTAATTCACAAACAAGATTATTACCTGTTTTGTAATACTATTGCATTTTGCATTGACATTTTTCATCACTGTATTGCAATTATTTTACTTTTCTTCAACTCTGGGTACCTACCATGTGGCTGGCAAATCATGGATATGCCTGATATACTGGCTTGCACAAAACTAATATTAATGAAGAGATACCTGGTCTGCTAGGCACATGGAGATAGTATGTACATGCTTTGGAGTCTGAAAGACCCTAGCTGGAATTCCAGTTTGACATTTAATCATAGTATTCACACTGTATACAAGTTACTTAACTGCTTTGGAACTTAGTTACCTGATCTGTTAGTATAAACATTGAGAAAGGTAATGAAGATTTAAGTATATGACGTATAAAGTACCCAGTTCATAGTGGGCACTCAGTACGTATTTGGTCCCTTAAAGCAATGGTTCTCAAACTTCCTAAGGC